TGCACCTCTGGGGGCTTGTATATCTAGGTAACAGCAACTGGGAAGACTGGGGTCTGGACTGGGCAGACTGAGCATCTCAGCCCAGCTGCTGGGGGGATTTCCATTGTCTCTATGTGTGGGTATATATATATATGTCCACTAGTAGATCTCCATCCTGTGAGCCAGAAAGAGCAGGATGAGGCTTTTGGTGCTACCTGTGTTTGTATGTTTGTCTGTGTTACCTGTGTGTCTAATGAGAATAAATTTTCAGCCTTGCTGCTGGTTGGATCTGAGGACATGGAGCAGTGGCAACCTCCACACTCAGCCTCTCAGACCTGGCACAGTATTTTGCAATGTACTCAGAGCATGAATCTTGAGAGCTGGGTGTATCTGCAAGGTCCTTTCTAACTGAGAGGAAGAATGGGAGGAAGTATTTTCAGAAGTAGGTACATTAATGCAGAAGAAAAAAGCCTTAAGCTTTCTTAGCATTGCATGTTGCTTAAGCAGATGTTCTAGCACAGCAGCTGACCTGGTATAATTTTACCATTTCCTATAGTTGCTATGTTTTCAGCCTTTATAAATGAAATGCTTAATTACCTGTTGTGATGTTGTACAAAATGACATCAATTCCAGCCTTTAGTATGCAACTTTCCAATGCTGGGCAAGACATGTGCAGGCAATTCATGTTCTCATGAATGGCTCCATGGTAGAACACTGCTAGATTGCAGGAAACTGTAATCCATAAAGAATACAGTTGAGCTTCTCAGCACTATGACCATTGCATTTTGCAGATTATTATGTTCTTTAACATTAGAAGATAATTAATACTGGGGAGTTCTGCCCAGATGCTCTGGGAATAGAGAACCATATAGTGTGGTTCTCTCATTATCGTGCAAATTAATTGAGCATACAGATTGAAAAGTAGACTAGTTATATTCTTATTTTACATGTGGACTAGAATAGCTATCTGAGTTCTAAAGGTGTCTCTGATTAAATAATAACTGATTTAAAGCATGTCTTTGAAATGTCCTCTAATATCTCTAGTTTACTTAAGATTGTAACAAATTTGTGCTTGACTGTGTAACAATATAAAAGGGAGATTCCAAGTTACCATCAATTACTTCTGTAAGGTATCCAGTCCCGTGTTCTATGAGAAAAATGTTGTTCAAACAGGAAAAGAATTGCTAAAACGTTTGCCATTTTTCTTTCTTCCCATTATTTAAGCCAAAATTTGACTTCCCAGGAATGCTGCTGGGAGTATTGTTACTTATGTCACTGTCAGGTTGGCAAGATCATAGTTTTGCTCATAATTCAAACTTTAATTGAATTTTTTTAATTTTATTGAGTAACTGGTAGTAACTGGTACTAACTGGTACTTCATTTTCATCCTCCATATCCAAAACCCTTTCAAGTCTTGTGAGTTCTGAAAATTTAGACATCACAGACATACACTTCATGTACTCTCCTATAGTGTACCAGTGCAGTGTGGTACAGAGCAAGTATAGTCTTGGGCTTCAAGACAAATGATGATTTCTCTTATTTTTATTCTAAGCCTGAGTTTTCAAGGCTAGGGAAAAGGAAGGGGTTGCCAACTGAATAACTGCTATTATTTGTTACTGTAACTGTATTGTTCATATGAACATTATTCCTGGTTTGCACCAGAAACATGGTGCAAACACAGAATAAGAGAGTGCTTTCTCCAAGAAAATGAATACTCTTGTACTCTTGTACTTCAGAGAAGGACAAACAGTGTGTTCACTCCTCTTTCTCTCTCACCATGCTCCCTGCAGAGTGCTGTTAGAATCACTGTCACTGCTTGTTCTCTACAGGCCTAGATGGTGATGAATACTGAGGAGTTATCCTTTTAATCTTGGCATTGCCTACAAACTTTGTAACAGATCTAAAAATTCAAAGCAGAGCTTAAGATTTTCATGTTTTTCTAGTGTAGTCTTCTAAAAGCTTTGCTTATCAATTTCCTTTCCATGGGACTGAAGGTGAGGGAACAGTTACAATGTCCCTCTGCTTTCCTGCTTCAAAAAAAAATACATAGATCCTCCCCCCTACTCCCATTTCTTCTTCAAATAATGTTCATATAAACATTACCCAAAATATGTTTCTCATATGTCATGATGCCAATTTTAACGTGTGCCACGGTCATGACAAACACTCACCATTCCTCAGAAGGCAGCAGGTTCTGCTGCACTGTTGGGGTGAGACTTCTGCATAAACCTTCAGCACCTGAGCTCCTCTCTTCTGTGATTCCTGCAGGTCAAGCAGGAGCCCTGGGAAGCGTCGGATCCAGCAGTTCTTGTAAAAGGTAGTGGGTGAGCAGACAGAGTCAGACTCCCCAGTCAAACCCAAAACCAGCAGCACTTCTGCTACTGCCACCAGCAGAACCATTGCTTCGTTGTAAGGGGCTTAGTTAGCACACACTCTCCTCCATGGATGCACTACAGTCTGGACCAGCACGTGAAGAGACAATCTCTGGAGTGGTGAGGATACTGCCAACTCTGCCAGGGACATGAGCCAGGGCACAGTTTTTTCCAAACAATTCCCATGGTGCTGTTTGGGCAGTTGCTGGAAGGAAACAGCCACTTTTTGAGTTACATATGATTATAATAGTTATTCTTGTTGTTCTCAGACTTAATGCTTTGGAGACAGTTTTTGAGAGACAGAAGGCCCAGCTTGTTTTTAGTCATTCAGAGAACTTGTTTCTTTGGTCCCTTAGTTTGTGTCTCTTGTCCTAAGAGCAAATGAGGCAGACAGCCTTAACATTTGGTGAATGTAAGCTCAGCATGTTGTTTCACCTCAGCTCAGAACATAGGCAGTACAGTCACTTGGGAGAAGATAGGGCTGCCACTTAGTTCAGGCACACTGTTAACCCAGGAGGGGCAGTTTGGTTTCTGAACACTTTCTGAATTATCTGGTGCCTGCAAATATACTTCCCTTCTTTACTAGCAAACTGAACTACCTAATTCTGTCTGCCAGCCAGAGGTAGAAATTTATTGCCCTTCTCTACTCTGTTTTGATTGCAAGAATAATGCACTTTTATTTGCAAAGGCCTAGGACTAAATGAATATGATTGAAGAAGGCTGTAACCTACATTAGAGAGCATCCAAAGGAGAGCCACAAAGGTGAAGGACCTAGAGGGGAAGCCATATAAGGAGCAGCTGAGGTCACTTGGTCTGTTCAGCCTGGAGAAGAGGAGACTGAGGGGAGACATCATCACTGTATGCAGCTTCCTCATGAGGGGCAGTGGAGGGGCAGCACTGACCTCTTCTACCTGGTGACCAGTGACAGGACCCAGGGGAATGGCATGGAGCTGTGTCAGGGGAGGTTTAGGTTGGATATTAGGCAAATGTTCTTCCCCCAGAGGTGTTTGGGCACTGGAACAGCTCCCCAGGGTCACAGCCCCAAGCCTGACAGAGCTCAAGAGGTGTTTGGACAATGCTCTCAGGCACAGGGTGTGATTCTTGGGGTGTTCTATGCTGGGCCTAGAGTTGGACTCAATGATCCTTGTGGGTCACTTCCAGCCCAGGATATTCTATGTTCTCCAGACAGGTAATTAAAGTCCTGCCCCTAATAAGATTAAGAATATTAAGCAGTCCTGGTGATGTTTAAGCCTGGAAAAGGCCTGTCAGAGTGAAAGAAAGAAAGAAAGGAAATACAGTTGACACAGAGGGAGAGGATTTTTCAAGCACCTGGTCTGAAACCTGAAACTCCCACGAGTTTTGTTTCTTAATAGGACCGAGTCTGAGCCCCAATTCCCACATCTGTGTGCCTTTCATACAGAAAGGCTTTAAATGTTACAATATATGAGTCAACTTCAACTCAGTGGACCATGTAGTGAGGTTGAGAGAACTAGATAGGAACATGGCTGTCTGCAATATAAACTGTGTGTTGAATGCATAACAATATTTCACACTACATTTTTATCCTTCAAGATTAGAATCAAGGAATTTTCTCATTTCTACATGAAGTATTGATGAGTTACATGGAGTGGGGGGAGCCTCAAACTCATTTTAATTTAGTCATTACAGCTGATGTTTTGCAAAACAAGGCCCCCAGTTTGGAAAAAAACTGACATGTATACAATTTTGCTCCTTACAGAGCTCCTGGGTAGGTTATAAAGCCTAGAGCACATTAATTCCTGTTGACCCAATAGTAAGGCCAAGGCATTATTTTACTCAGTGGAACTACTGGCTATAATTAGGAGGGTCCCAAATAAATGTTTGTTGTGGGGAATCCATGAATTAAATTGTAAGAAAGAGGGTAAGTGGGTAATCCTTTAAACTTCTGCCCTGAAAACCAGCTCTTGGTATTTACCTTGTTTTATTTAGTTTTGGTAGTTTGATGTCCTGTATTTTTGTTTTTGTCTCTGTGAAAATCACTACTTAAAACCTTACATACATTTGAACATACTTGTTAGCTTGTGGACTGCACAGGGAAGTTTTTAGATATTTATCTACCATTGCCACGAGCACTGTTGACAGTGTATTTTTCTAAAATGTTTGTTCCAGCTTTCAAAATATTTCAAGATATCACTTGATACAGGATACACTCAGAATTTTGAAAAATATGCCTCTATTTTGGCATTACTTCCTGCATTTAGTATGAACTTTTGATCTATTTTTCCTTTGCATTACTTGTTATTCTTTCTTCTTTGTATGTTTCTAAATAAATTCCTCTTAAGAGCAGGAATAGCTGCAGGGAAATTTTCTGTTTAATAAAACATAAAGAGGTTGAAATAAACAAGTAAATAAATGATGCTTTAGACAATTTCCTTTAAACATTGAAAAGTTCTGTCTATTACATTTCAGTCTTCTGCCAGCTTCCCTGTAATTTCACTTTGACCTTTCTATGGGATATGCATATATATATATATATATCAATTAATGCTGAAGTTTTAATTCAGAAACATTTTGCAAGAAGGAAATACCTGAATCTTACCTGCAAGCCAGGGATCGACTGTTCCATGTGCTCTGCAAAGAGGGATGGAGAGCCTTTCACTGTGAGTGAGGAGTGTCCAGCCAGTACCACACCAGCACTTTATGCTCTTTAGTAATTCATCAGTCTTCTCAAATTTCTTCCTGGAAAAAGGAATTTGCCTGTATTCCATGAGAACATGGATGTTTTTGCAGACCTTTCAGTAAAAGAGATATAAATGGACCTGCCACAAAGGAAGAGAATTACCTTTTCAATGATTCTTCTTATAATCAGAAACAGTACCTGAAGGTTCCCACCTGGACTGGCAGTGAGAATGGCACAATCCAAGAGCTTCCTAGTACAAAGGATTTATCATCAGGCATTAACTCTTTTTTTGCCAAATATAAACAAAAGCAGACACTTTTTCCATATAAAGTAACAGGTATATCTTGGTATTTGGAGCTGTACTTAGCTTATATGGAATATATATGGTTCTACTACTCAGAATATGTAAAGATCACAAATGATCAATCCATATAATCATAAAATTACAGAATAGTTTGGGTTGGAAGGGACTTTCAAGAATATCTAGTTCCAACCCCCTGTCCTGGGTAGGGACACCTTCCACCACACCAGGTTGCTCAGAGTTCCATCCAGCCTGGCCTGGAACACTGCCAGGGATGGAGCACCCACAGCTTCTCTGGGCAACCTGTGCCAGTGCCTCAGCACCCTCATAGCAATAAATTTCTCCCTAATATCTAATATAAACCTACTCTTTGTCAGTTTGAAGCCATTGCCCCTTGTACTGTCACTCCAGGCTCTTGTAAATAGTTCTTCCCCACCTTTCTTGCTCCCTTCAGGTACTGGAAGGCTGCAATTTGGTCACTCCAGAGCCTCCTCTTTTCCAGGCTGAACAATTCCAATTCTCTGAGCCTTAATAGAGGAAAGCATTCAGAAAAAAACCAACAACACAGACTAAAAATGCTAAGGCTTTGATTCTGTAGTCAGGTCAGCATCTCTAAAACTACACTGCTCATTGGTTTTGTTTGTGGATCATCTGTTGCCCACACTGCTACTGTCTCATGCTTCTCTGCTGACTGTCTTGAAGTCCCTCTCAGCCCTAGTGGGGGAGGACAGTTCATGTCCTGGGACAAGCTGAAGCTTAGGCACTGATGCTCGTTGAACAGTTATGGGAGGCAGTGGTGGTAGCTGCTATGACCCAGCCAAAGCTGGTGGCTCTTTCCTTCTCTTTCCTTCTGCTCTGTCTGTAGTGGTTAAGCCAGTGTGATTAGAGGGATGCCTCCCTCATGTAATTGCAGACTAGACAAGAAAGGACAGTTGGGCCCTTCTGTCTGTCTTCTCTTTTCCAAGCAGATTACTGGAGAGAAGTGAGAGATATCCCCTGAGGCCCAGATGTGGCAGCACAACACTCCTTGATGCTGCTATGATGATGCAGAAATATGTGGTGAGTGATAGTTTCCAGCAGAGTCCCTTCCTGTCCCAGTGGGGAGAAACTGGAGCTCACCATGCAAAGCATTTCTCTGCTACAGCTAGAGTCAAACATGTTTGCTTGAGTCACCTGTGGTGTAAATTGTCTGTGACAAAGCAGTTGAAAGATGACAACTACCAGCAGAGAAGGGAGACTGAAGCCTGCAGTTTCCCAGGTGAGGTATGAACCTGCCTACATCCTCCTGTGAACATCAGTAAGTGTGCTTAATCAAAAGTGCAGCGTAATCCCATGTGACATCAGCCCTGCTGAAGTCAGGGAAACTTTCTGTGTTGTGCTCCACATAAATAAATTGAATTGCAAGCCTGTGTTGGAATTATCTTTATCTCATGTTTTCTGAGATATGTACATGTGTTTTCCCTTTATTACGGTAAGGACAAAGTTTTACGTAAGCTAAGTATTTTGACAGTGCCAGAATATGTCAGTGTGATTCTATTAAGGTATCAAAGTTATAATATATGAGTTTAATAAATCATTAAACAATGAAATGTAAATACTTGGGGGGGAAAAGCAAATCTTTTTGACCTTATTCAAATAATGGGCTCAGTTTCCCCTTGAATTTTCCTTGAAATCAAAACATTCTTGCAAAATGTCTAAAGTCCAACAATAAAGCATTTTTTGAGACAACTGTTTTGTCAAAAACAGCTATTAGTGGTCAGATTTTGGTTTGGAGCAATATTGCCCCAACCCTGGCAGTATTCAAAGCCAGGTTGGATGAGCCTTGAGCAACCTGCTCTGGTGGGAGGTGTCCCTGCCCAGGGCAGGGGTTGGGACTAGATGATCTATGAGGTCCATTCCAACCCTAAAACTCTATGATCACGTTTTTAATGAATCTGATGTTCTGCAAGCTTTGGGACAGTTGGGTTCAAGATTCTGGCTTTAGTCCCATCCCAGGAATATGGTAAAAAGAGGTGAAATATTACATTTTCTGTTCTTGGGATTTTGTGCAAACCATTTTTTAAACCCTTGTTTCAAAGGGGTTGCCAGGCCCTGAGATTCCCTTGGAGCTTGGCCTCAGACTAAT